ATGGGGCGGCAGGTATAGGAACAGGGGGGATGCACATGCTTTGCCGGCAACTATTGTTTTTAGAGTTCCTAGTGCAAAGCTGGGTGTCAGTGTGAGATGAGAGTGAAGCCAGCTGTGGGGACTGATTCGTAGAGGGAGGATCTTGAGATGTTTTCAGCCACGGAGATAATCCTGGCAGCTCTGCAGAGGAGAGATTGGAAGAAAACAATATAAAAGACAGTGCAAGGGGAGGAGAATAGGGTATTAACACAGTCAAGAAATAAAGATGTCCTGGCCGATTTGGCTCAGCAGTTACAGCATCAGCCTGAGGACCAAAGAGTCGCAGGTTCCATTCTGGTCAAGGGCATGTATCTCGGTAGCGGTTTGGTCCCTGGCCCTGGTCAGGGTTGTGTGGGAGACAGCCAGTCAGTGTATCTCTATCACATCGATGTTCACCCCCCCCCCCCCGACTCTGTCTGAGGATAAATGGAAGAAGTGTCCTCGGATGAGGATTTAAAAAAAGAGAGAATGGAACCCAAGGCAGTAACATTAAGGATGATTCAAAGGCATTGGATTAGAGAAACATTTAGGAAGCAGAACTGCAGTACTTGTTGCTCTGATCTGGGGAAAGTAAAGGAAAGAAGGAGGGAAAGATAGACTTCCAAGGTTCTGGCAAGAATGAATGGACAAATTATGTTTATCCACGACTGAGGTTCAGTATACAGAGGGAGGATTTCAGTTGTGACAGTTTGAGTTTGAGGTGCATTGGATATTGGAGAAGAAATGTCTAGATAGTGGTTGAATAAATATATGAGTTGGAAGCTCAAGAGTGAACTTGGAACTAGAGGTTAGGATTCTTAGTCTTTAGCATGTGGGTGCTAATGGGATTGATGTGGGACTTTTAAGGCAACTTATTAGCACAGATATTCTTTCTAAGGGCAGCTTGGAAACAACATTGAATTATGTTAGGAGGAAGTTCTTTTTTTTTTATCCTCACCCGAGGACATTTTTCCATTTTTTGTACAGACAGAGTGGGAGGGAGAGAGAGGAAGAGAGAGAGAGAGAAACATCGATGTGAAAGGGACACATCGAGTGGCCGCACGACCAACCAGGGCTGGGGACAAACTGCAACCAAGGTACATGCCCTTAGCGGGAACCGAACCCGGGTCTCTCCGGACCGCAGGCGGGCACTCTAACCGCTGAGCCAAACCGGCCAGGGCAGGAGGAAGTTCTTTATCCTGTCCCTTGTAGTACATGAAAACGTCAGATGGTTGAGGGATGGAAGGGCAAGTTAATGGATTATCTTACTAGCCTTAATAATACATTCCAGCTGCCTCCAAGCACCAAGGTCACCTTCCATGAACTCCATGCTCCTCACCTTCCATGAACTCCATGCTCCTCGATCCCTGAGGTCTCTAGCATGTATTTTTATGGTGTAGGAGATCTGGCCTCTCTATAATGAATCTCTAACCTCCCACACTTCATTCTTCATCTTCTCATATAATCTAAGAAATAAGCTGTGTGGGTACTTATAAAATATGGAGCTCTCTGCCTCTCCCCTACTTCCAAGTACAGAGCACCTTCCATTTTTCCTGCTCCCTCAGTCGCTTGCTCTGGCTCCTAAGCTTTGTAATTGGCACGGTAGAAATTTATGTCTCAGCAAACTTACAAATTACTGCATGTAATGGGTTTTTGGGATCATTTATAAATAATTGAAACCATGATTGTTAAATTCTTGAATGCCAAGGGTCTACTGATATCAATATTTCATGGAGTTCCATAAAGAACATTATGAATTCCAGCTTGTGACTCTTAAAATAGTATATCTGAGAACCCCCTGACCCATAGAATTGATATCTATGACTTTATCATTTTTTTATCCTTTAAAATAAATTAATGTGTTAAATGTATTTCTTGTGAAGATATTTTATTACTATTTTTTTTAAATCCGAGGATATATTTTTTTCCAGTTATCTTCAGACAGAGTGGGAGGGAGTGTGGGAGGGAGAGACAGAGAGAAACATCGACTTGAGAGAGACACAGCGACTGACTGCCTCCCACACGACCCCGACCAGGGCCAGAGACTGAACAGCAACAGAGGTACATGCCCTTGACTGGAATCAAACCTGTGACTCTTTGGTCTGTGGGCAGATGCTCTAACTGCTGAGCCAAACCAGCCAGGGCACTTGTGAAGATATTTTAAAAACCAGATCCTTTATATTTTGTGGAAGTAGAGGGAGTTGAAATATGATGCCAAACATTTAATGTCTTATATTTCATTTCTTTTTCTTTGTTTTTTTATTTTTTATTTTTAAATAACAAAATAATACATGCTTATTGTGAAAAAACAAAACAATACAAAAAATCCTGAATATTTAGAAGCATGTGGAATAAAAAGTGAATATCTTGAATTGCCTCATCCCTCAATCCCATTGTCTTATTAATATTTTTATTTGTATCCTAAACCTTTTCATTTGGGTTTATACAAGTACACACATAGCTATTTAGGAAAAAATTTTAAATGCTAAATGGAGTCATGATGTTATATATATTGTTCTTGTTTAATAAAAAAGAAATACAGCCCTGGCCCTGGCCTGTTTGGCTACGCAGTAGAACGTCGGCTCATGGACCAATGAGTCGCGGGTTTGATTCTGGCCAAGGGCATGTACCTTGGTTGTGGTTTGGTCCCTGGCCTTGGTTGGGGTCATGCGGGAGGCAGCGAGTCGATGTGTCCCTCTCACATCAGTGTTTCTCGCTCTCTCCCTCCCACTATATCTGAAGATAAATAGAAAAATATCTTCAGGTGAGGATAAAAAAAAAAGAAAATATATCCCTGGCCGGGTAGCTCAGCTGGTTAGAGCATTGTCCCGACAGGCCAAGGTTGCAGATTCAATCCCTGGTCAGGGCACATACAAAAATTAACCAATGAATGCATAAATAAGTAGAATAACATATCAGTGTCTGTCTGACTGTTTCTCCTCTCCCTCCCTCCCTTCTTCCCTTTCTCCCTTTCTTCCTCTCTCACTCTCAAGTCAATAAATAAAAATAAAAATACATAGAGACTTTTCTTTTTCAGCCTCCTCATGGTGTTTCATAGTAAGAATGCATTCTAATTTAACTTCTTCCCCAGCTGTGTCCTTTTATCTTATAAAGTGAAGTTTAGAGGTGCCAACAGGAACGAGAGAGTGGCATTTAATTGGGCATCTCTTTAGCCAGTGGATTTGCTGACCTACCTACCCTATTAGTACCTGAATAAGCAGTGGAAAAAACCCTGTGATGGGTGACCCAGTGGGAGACTTCCCAGTGGGGAGGTGGGTTAGGATCGCCTTATCCCACCCAGAGTTCTAGGCTCTGGGCTGTCAGTTGGTCCTGTGGCAGAGGGAGATGAGATTGGGGTGAAAAGTGTGTTTTAGAGGAATGTGGTATAAATGTTACCAGCTGAGGGTCAGCTCTGAGAGGTAACCAAATGATTACTTTTCCTGTAGGTTATTTATTAGGAGAAACATTATAAGACTTAGGTTCCATTTATAAGGTATTTAGTCAGTTGGGTGGTATTTTAGTTACATACTGTATTTCTTTAAAAAATAAAAAAAAATAAAATACAAGTAATTAATACAAAAGAAGTCATGTTAACAATATCTTCTATAAGTGAAGGTGTGGGTTCGGCCCTGGGCTCTGAGCAGCCCCTGTCTGGATGGCAGCAGTAGTTCTGGGAGGAGACACTATGGGCTCTGAGTGTATCTTCCCCAATCAGTTGGAGGAACGAGGGCCGCACCAGGGCCCTACAGAAAGCACTAGGGATTGGAGCGGTGAGAAGCCTGAGGAAGAGCAGGAGGAACCGGGGCAGGCCCAGCTGGCTACTTCTGCCAGCCCCTGAACCAAGATCCTGAACCAAGATCCTGAACCGGAGGAGGTGGAGCTGGCATCAGTGGGGAATGGAGAAGATGTAGTTGCCAACATCCAGTATCGGATCCAGGCCCTGAGGCTTCATTTGCCAGACCCGCCATTAGAGAGTGAGGGTGAAGATGAGGCGGGAGCTACAGCATCGAGCACTCACAGCTCTAGTCCTACAGACCCAGAGCAGGCAGAGCTGGTGAAGAGGACGATGGCTGGAGTAAGCCTGCCTGCAGCAGGGGGCCTGCCTGGGCCAGGAGAGCCCAGATGCTCAGCGAGAAGACACGGTACCGAAGGCTGTCCAAGCTCGGCAGGCACCCCTGCCTGGAAGCGACCGCCTGGAGAGCTGCCTCATCTCCCAGCATTCCTCTGGAACCAGCACAGGGCTGAACACATGCCCTGGTCGTAATGCCCATCTCCACCCTCCCTGTCCCCTCTCCACATCCAGGCGAATGAGACTTCTTCTCAGAGACCCACTTTATTCAGTTCTGAACATGTGGGGGCATCAGCCCAAGCCCAGCCCATGGCAGCATGTATCACTCTGGGGAATAAAGCACACTATGCACACACACACTTCTCAAGAAATTGGAGCTGGTAGGTATCAAGTAATATCAAAACTAGCTTTTTCCAGATGGCAGCCAGTATACATGGGTCTTTAGCTATACATGGAGGTGAACATTCATATGTATCTGGTATGTTGTCATCGCTTCCTAGATATGGTTCCCAGGAGGACTTGGGGGTATCTGAGCAGTGTTTTCACTCCAAACAAAGTGTTAGTGAGTAAGAGGTCATTTTTAATAGTGTAGGACTAGGTTGATTCTTTGTTGCTGGCAGTAAGTACAACTTTAAAAGGTTCTGTAGCGCTAATGAGAATAGTTACCTGGTTCAAAACACCTCTAATTGGTTAAACTGAAACTTTTATTCACATCATTCTTTTCTAATAACTGTATATTGTTTTAAGGTTATTAACTAGAGACATAGAAAATGGAATTTTTAAATAACTTTGAAGTAAATCTTAAAGTTTTAAAAATATACATATTGCACGAATCTTGTTCCATGCTTTTAGGCTTAAATTTACATATTTCTTTTAAAACAACATTTCTTTTTTTTCCTGATTTGTCTAATAGGAAATGCCACAATCAGTTTCTGCAATCACATTAAGTAACACAGATATGAATAATACAAAAACTAATGCACAGAAAAATGAAATCCCAGTAGAGGAACTTGGTAAGGTTTCTGAACACAAAGTCACCACTAAAGGAACGCTGAATAAAGAAGAGGCAGTGAGCTGTTCTGAGAGCGGTTCAAGTGCCCAAGGCAAGTCCTTCCATGGTGAGTCTCAAGGCTCTCATTCCGAGTCCAGCTGTGATCCCTCCGACCCTGAAACTCTGCATGCCAAGGCAGCTGATTCAGTTCTGCAAGGTCCAGAAGAGAACAAGGTCAAGAGGACATCCTGCATGTATGGGGCAAACTGCTACAGGTAAAGTGAAATTATAGGTAGCATATAATTCCATTATTTCAGTGGCATGTTGCTATTTAGATACATGTTATCGTCTATTAAAAACCTAATAAAACACATTGGCCTAAAAGTTAGGAGCTTTTTCACATGTCTACTTGGTTTGTACTTTCTTGGTGTGCATTCCTACAAATGCTGCCACTCCTGCTAGAGGGATTTAAGAATTAAATGTTTCAGACTACATGGAGGGACCTGGAAAGTATCATACTAAGTGAAACAAACCAAACAGAGAAAGACAAATTTCATATGATCTCACTGATTTGTGGAATATAATGAACATAACAGTTTGAGGAATGGGGTAGTCCCAGAGACGCGGAAGCAGGGCACAGACTGACAATCCCCTAAGGAGTGGGGAGGTGGGGGAGGGATGAACCACAGAACTTATACGCATGTATGCATGAACAGTGGACATGGACAACAATCTGGGGAAGGGGCAGGGAGGGGAGGGGGAGGGGGAAATCGGGGGGGGGGGAGAATCATCTGTAACAAAAATTAATCAATAAAAAAAAAAAAGAATTAAATGTTTCATATGTAGACATGCTGGTTAATGCAAGGATCTGAACTGGGGAATCCAGACTTAAAAATCGAATCACCCAAATACCGGCTTATTTGGTGTCTTACTCATTTATTTAATGTATTTGGTTAATCCTCATCCGAGGATATATTTATTTTTATTTTATTTATATTTTTAATTCTCACCTGAGGATATTTTTCTATTGATTTTTAGATAGAGTGGAAAGAAGGGAGGGAGCAAATGAGAGACAGAAACATAAATGTGAGAGAGACACATCAATTGGTTGATTCCTGCACGACCTGGACTGGGGCTGGGGATCGAATTTGCAACCGAGATACATGCTTTGACTAGGAATCGAATCCAAGACTCTTCGGTCTGTGGGCCATTGCTCTAACCACTGAGGCAAACCAGCCAGGGCAAGGATATTTTTTTCATTGATTTTTAGAGAGAGAGAGGGAGAGAAAAACATTGATGTGAGAGAGACACATAAATTGGTCGCCATCTTCACATGCCCTGACTGGGACCAGGGATCGAACCCACAACCCAGGTATATACCCTGGACTGAGAATCAAACCCAAGACCCTTCAGTGCACGCCAGCTACTGAGCCACATCAGCCAGGGCTTTAGTGTCTTATTTAAATATTAGAAAGACAGCTTTATAAATAGTTGTTGTATACATCATAGCTATCAAGAGAATTTTAGGTTGTGTTTAGGCATCTTATTATACTTGTGCATTTTCCTCTATATTTTTCTAATGGTGCTGTTGAATCACCATGATGCCTTCTAAAACATCTAAATATGTATTTCCTGGATTGATTGGTTACTTCTATACTTACCTCATTTGATAACATTGCACTATATTTTCTAATTTTATATTTTGTAAATTCAAATTATTATCCCTTAGCTTTAGACTATTGTTTCATCTATAATGTTTATACTAGAGTGTTTATAATTATGCACTCCTATTTCAGAAGTAGTTACTTGCCATTCCAACTTGTGAAATCAAATATCTTATGGATACATTCCAGTAGAGTTTGTTGTCTCCTATGCGATAGTGTGTTAATATCATATTCTGTTAACTTCACATTCACATCTCTCTTTCAAATGCCTTGCCATTTTAGCACTTGAATAACAATATTTTTCAATTTCAATGGTTAGAATTTATGCATTTATTCAGTTTGTATATTTTTAAATGGTCTTAGTTCCATATGTGGAACTTGTAGAATGGAAGTATATAAACCTTTTATGAGTTTGGAGTTTTGAAAAATTCTATTTGGTATTTGTATTGGTTCACTGGGGTTGCCATCACAAAATACCACAGACTGGGTGGCTTAAGCAACACAAATGGATTATTTCATGATTCTGGAGGCTGGAAGTCCAAGATCCAGGTGTTGGCAGGTTTAGTTTCTCCTGAGCCCTCCCTCATTGGCTTGCAGATGGCCTCCTTTTCCTTGTGACCTTACATGGCCTTTTCTGTGTCCATGCACATCCCTGGCATCTCTTCATCGTGAGGACACCAGTCATTGGACTGAGGCCCTGCCTTCATGACTTTATTTAATCTGAATTACCTCTTTAAAGGCCCTGTCTCCAAATATAGTCACACCGGGGGTTAGGGCTTCAACGTATGAATTTGGAACCATGGTAGTGGGGGACACAATTCAGTACATAACGGTATTTAACACTGACATTTTTCTTTGTTAAAGGTGATTGAATGCTTTATCAAGATCTTAATAAATTTATTCATCCTTGATGATGATACATGTTCGTTTGAATCAGTCATAGTTTCGGAATAATTATTTTAATTTTTAAATAATTTTGATATGTGTAATTATTACCTAAGAAGTATTTCCACTGACATCCTGAAAACAAAATATATATTTGTAATAAAGGAGAAAAATAGCATATATTGCGTTCTTGTTATAGGTGTACATCGTAGTCATTTAAATGCATCTCTTCTCCTGCCTCAATGCCACTACTTTTTTTCATGCTGTATTCTCTCTGGGACATGTGAATAATCTCCTAAATCTCCACTTTTCCTCAGATTCATATTCCTCATTGTTGCCTGAGTGATCTGGCTAAGAAAATAAAAACAAAGATAAAAAAGAAGAGAGATTTCACTTTCCTACATAGAATCTTTTAGCGACTGAAGTCTGGGTTTCTTAGGCCAGTCCAAAAGATCTGCTAATTCTCCGCGTGCACCATGCTGTTTTATTGGACATGCTGTTCCCTTTCTCCTGCTCCTGACCTGCTTAAAGAGCTTGCTTACAGTCAGCTTCTTTCTGAACCCTTTTCTGACATGCCCACTCTTCCCCAAATTGCTCATTCCTAATCTATGCAACATTTTCCTGCATACAATTTTTAATATTTGACATTCAATATAATATTTAATATTTAATCGTTGATTTCTAATTATTTATTTACATGTTTAGTCTCTCTTCATAGAAAATTTCTCCTTAAGGGTAGTCTTTTTTAATCCCTTGATATCTTGGTATTGACTCCCAAATCTGTATCTCCAACACAGATTTCTGTACTGAATTTTAGATGCAGATGTTCACCACTATGTCCCCTTCAAATTCAGCATGTCTAAAGCAGTTGCATCTTATTTCAATCCTTTGTGAAACAAAGTAACAAAATAGCATTTAACTTTATTTGTAGCAGCTGTTGCTTACAAAAAATATCTTTTGAAATGTTTATTCTTTTGGGCTCATTTAGTTTTTCTGCTTAATAGCAGAAATTTGGGCAGAAGTGAAATCTCTTATTAGCATGTAAGAAATTTATGCTTTAATTTCAACTTGTAGCTTTTATCTTAATATGGAGTCATGTAAATTATGGAAGAGTTAATAGTGTATACAGTAAAGTTTTCACTTGGTAAATGTGGAGTATCTTGTTGAAGACCAGACTTCCCACTGAGAACAACTAAGAAAGCTGAACATTCATGTTTGCGAACATGAAAGGCAGCCAGGACTTTGAGGTTTCTTTTCTCCTTGTGACATTTGCCAGTGTTTTAGGGTTTCAGGTTGAGGCCAGCTAGAGTTTTGGGCAGTCTCATGGGACGTAGGCAACAAAAATGCAGTTCAGTGTTTGCCAAGCAGGAGCATCCCTAATGGAAGCATAGACATTCAAGATGGAAAATATGAACATATGTATAAATGAATATCGACTATGTAAAACAATAATAATATTTGTGTTGTGTAAAAATACATGAAATTAAAATATGTGAAGCCTGGCCATGGTGGCTCATTGGATTGAGTGTTGTCCCATGGGCTCAGAGGTCCTGGTTTGGTTCTCTGTCCGGGCACATGCCCGGGTTGCTGGCTCAATCCCCAGTAGGTGTGCAGGAGGCAGCCAATTGATGTATTTCTCTCACATCCATGTTTCTATCTCTCTCCCTTTAAAAAATAAATAAATAAAACATATATATATATCACAGAAGTGTTTGGGTATTAAAGCAAGTAAAATTTGACTACTGTAGATACTTTATAGAATTGGAATTATACAATATTTGTCATTTTGTGATTGGCTTATTTCATTGAACATAATGTCCTTGATGTCTATCCATGTTGTAGCATATGCCATAATTTCCTGCCTTTTTAAAGCTCAGTAATATTCTATTGTATGTATAGATCACATTTTGTTTACCTGTCTATCTGTCAATGGACACTTGGGTTTCTTTCATCTCTTGGCTCTTGAGAATAATGCCACTGTGAATGTGGGTGTACAGATGACTCTTTGAAATCCTGCTTTCAATTCTTTTGGATATTTATGCAGAAGTGGAATTACTGGATAATATGGTAATTCTATTTTTAATATTTTGAGGAGCCATCATACCATTTCCATACCAACTACACCATTTTATGTTTCTGACAACATGCACAAAGGTTCTAATTTTCCCACATCCTTTTCTGTGTGTGTGTTTTTTAAAAGTAGTAGCCATCCATCATAATGGATGGGAGGTGTAATAGATTATTGTGTTTTTGATGTATATTTCCCTGTTAATTAGTGAGCTGAGCTTCTTTTATATGATGGTTGGCCATTTGTATATTTTCTTTGGAAAAATGTCTTTTCAAGTCTTATATCCATTCTTTTTGTGTGTGTTTGTTTTGTTTTTATCCTCACCCGAGGACATTTTTCCATTTTTTGTACAGATAGAGTTGGAGGGAGAGAGAGGGAGAGAGAGAGAAACATCGACGTGAAAGGGACACATCGAGTGGCTGCCACTGCACGACCAATCAGGGCCGGGGACAAACTGCAACCGAGGTACATGCCCTTAGCGGGAACCGAACCCGGGTCTCTCAGGACCGCAGGTCGATGCTCTAGCCGCTGAGCCAAACCGGCCAGGGCCAACTTCATTCTTTTTAAAGATTGCTTTGGCTATTTAGAGTTCCTTGAAATCCCTTATGAATTTCTCAAAAAAAAAAAAAAAAAAATGCCATTGGAATTTTGATAGCGATTGCATTGTATCTGTAGATTGCTTTGGGTAGTTTGACATCTTTGTTGTTTTTTTATTTTTTTAAATTGATTAATTTATGACATCTTTTGTTTTTCAAATTAAAAGAAATATTTATTACCATATGGTATTCATACTTTTTTTTTAATTATTATTGTTGACTCTATTACAGACATTCCCCATTTTCCCCTGCTTTGCTTCCTTCCACCCTGTTCTGCCCAGGCCTTCACCACATTATTGCCTGTGTCCATGGGCTATGTGTATATGCATATATATTCTTTGATCTTCTCCCTTCTTCTCTAACCTCCTCCCCTCTGAGATCTGTCAGTCTGTTCCATTTATCCATGCCTCTGGTTCTATTTTGTTTTTCAGTTTATTTTGTTCTTTAGATTCTACATATAAGTGAGATCATGTGATATTTGTCTTTCTCTGACTTATTTTGCATAATAATCTTGACACTTTAACAATATTAAGCCTTCCATTCCATAAACATGGGATGTTTTTATTTGTGTCTTCTTTAATAGAAATTAAACCACTGTACAAGTTTTTTACCTCCTTGATTAAGTTTATTTGTAAATGTTTTTTAAATGTTATTATAATGAAATTGTTTTTAAATTTTCTTTGGGGATTATTTATTATGAGTGTATAGAAATGGAACTGACTTGAACATTTTTTTGTTGTTTAACAACTTTGCTGAATTAGTGTATTACTTTGGACTGTTTTTTGTGGAATCTTTAGAGTTTTCTGCATATGTAGAAATACATAGACATGTATACCAAAAGTAGAATGTTCATGTCAGTATTATTTATAAAAGCCAATAACTTGAACAGACCCAAAGGTCTATGAATAGTTGAATGGACAAATAAATTGTAGCAGCTTCATATAATGGAATGTTACACAGTAAAGAAAATATAATACTGCTACCTGCAACAATATAGAGTAATCATGCAAACACAAACAGTCATTCTCAACGAAGTATATACTATATGTTTTCATTTAAATTCAAGAACAGACAAAAATAATATGTTGCGTTATAACATCGCTTCTCAAAGTATGGCCAAGAGATCCCTGAGAAGTTCTGGTTCCCAGGAAGTTTATAGGAAATCTGTAAGGGTAAAACCATTTTCATAACAATACTAAGCCTTTGTGTGTGTGCCTTTTTCACTCTCAGTCTCTCACTCACAAGTGTACAGGAGAGTTTTCCAGAGGCTACATGATCTCTTAATGTTAATGATTGAATGCAGAAGCAGATATGAGAACCCAGATCCCTCTATTAAGCCAGACATTACTATTTGCAAATTGTCTATTGACGTACATGGCCTGCCATATGTCACCAGACATTAATTCTGTTACCATGAGAGTTCTGAATATGTGATGAGCTTTGTTTTTAACAATGTAGCAGATTAGTTCACATTCTGGAATAATCAGATGTGTGTGCCTCTTGGTTTCCTGCCATATCCTATAAATTATTTTTTTTAGCATATCTAGAAATCTCGTGTAGCCTATTAATTATTTTTTCTCACAGTATATTTATAACCCTTATAGGAAGAATCCCGTCCATTTTCAACATTTCAGTCACCCTGGTGATAGTGATTATGGAGGTGTACAAGTCATGTGTCAAGATGAAGCTGATGACCGGCCTGAATGTCCTTATGGAGAATCTTGTTACAGGTATGTAAACCTGAAGCATTTACATACCTGTTCTCCTTAATCGCTATTATTTATTCACTTATGCCTGCAGTTCTCATCTCAAGCCTTTAACTTTTAGTTTTTAAACTTCCATAGAAAATAGGTTTTCCATTTTAGGATTATAGGTAGGGTTATAATATTTCTTTTAGATAATTCTATACTATTGAAGTTATTAACCATAGAAATGCCTGAAATTCTTCTAATTTCTAACTTTATAAAATGCAGATAATGTAATTTAAAAGCTGTCGATGCTATCCCATTGTACACTCTATCCAGACTCCTTAGTGTGACACAAATCAGTTCAGAATGTTACCTCCACCCCTCAACTCCATCATTCTTCCTACACATGAAACTAGATCCTATAAGAAAAGTAAAGGTACCACTCCTTTCTTCTTCCGTAGCATCTTGTGCCTGTGTGTATCATGCAGAGTAGAATTTATCTGAGGAGATTGTTTGTTTATTTATGGGAATATCTCTTCCTCCAGACCGGAAGTTTCTTGACAGCAAGAACTCTTTTATCCTTGTGTCTGCAACTTTATTGAATGAATGAATGAATGAATGAATGAATCTGAAATAGATCACACTACCAAAGAAAGAAGTAGTGATTCTAACCTTAGAGAGCTTTAATTCCATACAGCCATTTTTTTCTGATAATTATGGCAGACAGATTACTGAACCTAGTGGACTTTTTGAAGTTGTTGCTATTTCAGTGATTGTGGTTTTTAGTAAGAAGGCAGAATAAGCTTCTGAGGATAGAAAGAAAAATAAAACAGCTAATGCCTTCTCATTTGAAAAATAAGTGTTCCATTCCAGCAGAGAACATCGTGCAGAAAATAATAAGATATTTTCATTAGCTGTGTCACTAAACTTGAAAATTTAGGAGAGCACAAATTCCTAGAAACTTTTAGAAACAGATACAAGAGAAAAATGGAATAATCCTATAACATTAGAGAAATTGAATACTTAATTAAAAACCTTCCACTAAAGAAATTCTCTTTGGCATTAATTTTACCAAACATTTAAAGAAGAAACACTCGCCCTGGCCGGTTTGGCTTAGCGGTTGGAGCATTGGCCAGCGGACTGGAGAGTACCGGGTTCGGTTCACGCTGAGGGCATGTGCCTTGATTGCAGTTTGTCCCCGGCCCTGGTTGGAGTCGGGTGGGTGGCGACCATTTGATGTGTCTCTCTCAAATTGATGTTTCTCTCTCTCTCTCTCTCTCTCTTTCCCCCTCTCTCATTCCTGCTCTGTCTGAAGAGAAATGCAAAAAAAAAAAAAACTGTCCTTGGGTGAGGATAAAAAAAGAAAATGAAGAAACACTTAATTTTTAAGACAAAGTATTCCAAAAAAAAGTAAAAAAAATTTATATTCTCCAACTCATTTTATGAGACCAGTATAACCTTAATACTAAAATCCAGCAAGAAAAATACAAAATGAAAAATTGCAAGATTTGGAACTTAGATATAAATATTCTCAAAAGAACAAAAAAGGTTAGTTAAGTGAATCAAACAGTTTAAAAAAGAGGAAACTATAACATGACCAAATAGGGTTTGTTCAAGGAATGTATGTTTTGTTTAATACTAAAAAATAATGTAATTGACCTGGCCTGTGTCACTCAGTGATTAGAGTGTTGGCCCATGCACCGAAAGGTCATGAGTTTGATTCCCAGTCAAAGGCATATACTTGGGTTGCAGGTTCGATCCCCAGCCCTGGTCACAGCTAGTGCAGGAGGCAACCAATCAATGTGACTCTCTCACATCTATGTTTATGTATCTTTCTTTTACTCTCTTTCTCTCCCTCTCTCCCTCTTCCTCCCTCCCTCCCTCCCTCTCTTCCACTCTCTCTAAAAAAATCAATGGAAAAAATATTCTCCATTGAGGATTTAAAAAATAATAATATAATTTACCATATATCAGAATATAAAAAAAATTATATAATTATTTCAATAGATAATTTTAAAAAATCATAACATTCATTCATAATAACATTTCAAAGTTGGAATAGAAGGAAACTGCTTTAATATGATAAAGAATATCTGAAAAAAGCTAATAGAAAATATCATACATACTTAGAAGTGAGATATTAAAACTTTTCCTTCTGATATCAGAAATGAAACAGTAATATCTCTTCCCTTAATTCTGTCAGTTTTTCTTAATGAAATAAGTGTGGTCTGTCCTTACCGGAAAAGCCATAGAAATGGGAAACTCATTCAGAGCTCTTCCCTTTTTCCATGTGTTGATTCCCCTCTGGTTTCTGCCTGCTTTGGGTAACTATCCATTGCCTTAAGAGTATTGTTTTTAATAGGCTTCTCTGTCATTGCCAGAAGTAAACTCTTTGTGTGATATAATGTAGTTACTCAAGCTTATGTTAATTATTTTTCATCCTTTTACTTTCAGCCTCTGTTTATATTTAAAGCATGTCTCTTACAAATAGCATGTAATTAGTTCCTTGGTCTTATTTTTAAAGCCAGTCTGATAGTCTCTGCCTTTTAGGTGTAATACTTAGTCCAGTTACATTTAATGCAATTACTGGTATATTTGAGTTTAATTTTGCCTTTTACTATTTATTTTCTATTTCTCCCACACATTCTTTGTTCCTTTATTCTTCTTTTCCTGACAGAGAGAGAAACGTAGATGTGAGAGAGACATACCAGTTGGTTGCCTCCCACATGATCCCTACCAGGGCCAGGACCAAACTGCAACCCAGGTATGTACCCTTGACCAGGATCAAACCCAAGACTATTTGGTCTGCAGGCTGACACTCTAACTGCTGAGTCAAACCAGCCAGGGCTATATTACATTATTGACAATGCCCTTTAATTTTTTTTCTTCTGTGCTTCAGAATGGATAGTTGCTGTTGACTTGTCTCAGAGTTTACTAATCCTCTCTTCTCTGGTATCTAGTCCACTGTTAAACTCACCTAAAGAGTTTATAATGTCAGAAACTGCATTTTTGAATTTCAGAATATCCATGATTCTTTTCTTATACATTCTAATTTTGGTGCAATTATCCATCTTTTCATTCATATTTGCCTTTTTTTTTTTTTACTCTTTTTAATATATATTCTTTAACATATATATATTTTTAGGTGTTTTACAATTTGTGTTTGCTAACCGACATTTCTGGATCAGTGTCTTCTGTTTTGGTTGTCAGTCATATTTTTCTGCTTCTTCATGTCTAAGTAACTTTTTTCTTGTAATACTAATTTTACTTATAAAAAGAACTGTAGAGATTGTAGATGTTAACTTCCCCTCTTTTTGGCAGACAGTAGCTGGTCATCTCTGCCTTGTCAGAGATTAGATAGATAATAGCTAGGTTGACATTTCAATAAAACTCAGTCTGCCTTTGGAAACACTAGCCTTGTTCCTTTCATTCCTAACCTGTCCTGACAACTCCATGAGACCAGGAAAAGCTCTGCTGGCTCGTTGTTCAGATAGTGTGCCTCCTCTTGGTCCAGATCTTACCCGTAGCCCACAAAGGAAGAAAAGAGCCGGTGAAGTTCAGCTCACCTAAGAAGGGCTTTTTCCTCCATGGAATTTTAGATAATCTAAAATTTTTATGCTCCCATAATTCTCTCATTAAAAAATTATTTTTATAATTTATCAGTTTTTTTTAGTTATTAAAACAAGAGTATTGGTCTGCCATGATGTCCTACATTTTCCAAGAAGCAAATTTAAATATGCCTATTCTTGAGAAAATAAAAATGAAATACAAAGCCTTGCTAAGAATAATGTCAAAAATTGCTACCTTCATATGCTCAATTAATATTTGACAAAGGTGGCAAGAACATACAGTGGAGTAAGGACAGCCTCTTTAATAAATGGTGCTGGGAAAATTGGACAGCTACTTGCAGAAAAATGAAACTAGACCATCAACTTACACCCTACACAAGAATAAACTCAAAATGGATAAAAGACTTAAATGTGACTCATGAATCCATAAAAATCCTAGAAGAAACTGTAGGCAACAAAATTTTAGACATCATATGCAGCAGAATTTTCACTTGCACATCACCTAAGGCAATAGAAACAAAGGAGAAAATGAACACATGGGACTACCTCAAACTCAAAAGCTTCTGCACAACGAAAGATACAATCATCAAAACGGAAAGGCAACCCACTGTATGGGAGAGCATAATTGCCAATGATATATCAGATAAGGCTCATACAACTCCACAAAAGGAAGACATAGAACCCAATTAAAAAATGGGCAGAGGAACTAAATAGACACCTCTCCAAACAGGACATACAAATGGCTAAGAAACATATGAAGAAATGCTCATCATCACTAACCATCAGAGAGATGCAAATTAAAACAACAATGAGGTATCACCTCACACCTGTCAGAATGGCTGCCATCAACAAATCATCAAACAACAAGTGTTGGCGAGGGTGTGGAGAAAAGGGGACTCTAGTGCACTGCTGGTGGGAATGCAGACTGGTGCAGCCACTATGGAAAACAATATGGTGTTACCTCAAAAAATTAAAAATTGAACTTCCATTTGACCCAGTGATCCCACTTCTAGGAATATACCCTAAGAAGCCTGAAACACCAATCAGAAAGAATATATGTACCCCCATGTTTGTAGCAGCACTATTTACAATCGCTAAGATCTGGAAACAGCCCAGGTGTCCATCAGTAGATGAATGGATAAAAAAGCGGTGGTACATATACACAATGGAGTACTACACAGCTGTAAGAAAGAAAGATCTCTTATCCTTTGAGACTACATGGAGGGACCTGGAAAGTATCATCCTAAGTGAAACAAGCCAAACAGAGAAAGACAAGTTTCATATGATCTCACTTATTTGTGGAATATAATGAACATAACAGTCTGAGGAATGGGGTAGTCGCAGAGACGTGGAAGTGGGGTACAGACTGACAATCCCCAGAAGAGGGGGTGGTGGGGGAGAGATAAACCACAGAACTTATATGCATGTATGCATGAACAGTGGACATGGACAACAAACTGGGGAGGGGGCAGG